ACTTAATTAACGTTGTTACTTATAACAGCGTATAATTTGCGTCAAAATTTGTTTCGCGTTCAACGAAGATCGTTAGCTTGGTGAGTCACAACATATTTAACCCAGCACGTGATATTGTTTGGTTTCGTAATAACACTACAAAATAACATGTTGCGTCTCATAATGTTAACGAGAGAGAGATTAACACTCGTATTTATAGTTCGACGCGGCAGTTTACTTCTTCATCGGTCCGATTTTGCGGTATTCTTTCAGCTGCACCGTTACTTTGTAACAGTAATTTCATAAATAATGCGAAAGAACGCAGTCCTGACCTCGCTAATCTGCAAATATCTATATTTGATCTGTATAATGTATAAAATTTGCTCTAACTGTCTATGTCCTGCATCAGTGAGCTAATCCAATTAAATCTCTTAGTGCTATAATTTCCCATTGATACCAACTATGAGCCATGCGTGTTGCGATGGAGGTACCTCGTTGAACTCTTTAGTACGGACGGGCGCGGGCGGGCTCGACGCCCGTTTTTCGTTGGCATCTAATGAGATTTAAGTCCAAACATCGAGAACGATCATGGCGGAACATTACACGCTCTAGGATATTAAAATGAGACAAATTTATAGCCGCTCTCCGATTATACTTTCGATAAACGCGCAGACCGGTGATTATGATATCTTGTGGTTTAATCGTACGATCGATACAGAGTCGCGTTCCGTTCTACACTAAACCAGTACTAATAAAAAAGAAACTAGTTACGGGCGGGTCGTATCCGACAGTTTACGTTGGAAAATCAACAAGGCGCTATAGTGGGACCATAAGTCGGAACCGCGGTGCGTTATCGACTCAATCGGGCTTGAACAATGCATCGAATGTTTCAATATAGCTCCGACAGCATTTTTAACGTTTCATCGGTGCTGCAACAATCGTAAAATAAATTCTCTACACCTTCTCAGAGTTCTGATTAATGTTGTACACAGCGCGGCGTCGCGTTCTTATTTTTTTACTTGTATGTTATTCTCTAGCTTAATTTATGGAGGCTAGTGACTGAGAACGCGTCTTGCGCTTATTGGATTTCTCTTTTTTTGTTTTCAAGATTTTATACAATTTTAAGTGACGACAACATATATACTGCGTTTGTTAGCCACTCAAAATGTTTGAATAATTTTTAAAGCATTTGATTATATAATCTTATAAAAAATCTTATAAATAATCGTCAAGAAACAAATATATAAATTTATTTATATAAGTTAATGCACAAGTTGTACTCAGGCGGACTTAATGCCCAGGGCATTCTCTGCCAGTCGACCTTCGGGTGATGTAGAAAAATGATTCGGTAGGTGCAAGAGAAAACGGAGAATTTGACTTTATTTATACTAAATGTATTAATTTAAGATAAATCTAACTTACATGTATATATTATATACTATAAATAAAATACTATATTCCTGTGTGTGTTCATGTATTGTATGTGTATACTTTGGACCTCTATGTATGTATATATGTGTGTAGTAACATACATATATACATACATAGAGGTCCCAAGTATACACTTACAATACATGAACATACACATTTATAAATACATAAATATCAAAAACATAGTCGGGCACCAGCGTTGTGACCTTTCTGCCAACTTATTATATGTATATGTGTAGTTAAAGGCAAAGTTGACTACAGTTTGTGTGTATTAACTCATTATCAGCGGCCGCTCGCTACGTTAACTCGGCTTCAAAAAAATGATGCAGTGGTAAAACAGTTTTTATAAATTTGCCATTTCTGGGTTGAAAACTTGGAAAAGACTGGCCAGCCAGATTGATCACTCATTGTACATCTATACTATTATAATAAAGCTGAAGACTTCTCTAGTTTGATTAATAATAATCTTGTACATTTCATACATGCGTTTGATCACAAACTAGGTAGGACCATGGCAACCAGGGTGCTGAAAAACATACTTATATATTTCTAAATACATACATATTATAGATAAATCACACCCCGACACAGAACAAACGATCGTGGTCATCACACACTATTTATCCTGGATGGGAATCTAACCCACGATCACTGGCTTAGCAATCAAGATCACTAACCACTACATCAACAGGCCCGTCAAATTATTTCAATGTTTGATTGCGCTTATTTACGAAATTATGACTAGAGCAGTGACCATAAACATAGGTGAAAGCGCGTGGAACTCCCGGAGTCACACCGCATAAGGCATGCCGTCGATTTTTTAAAATTGCGTTTACATAATACAACGGTAACAGTTTTCAATAACGTACTTAGATATATAGAAATTAATAGCTTTGAAAACATTTTGGTCAACTTTATGCATGCTAATTTATTGAATGGACATCTGAAACGTATGATAGCATTACTCAAACTAGTTCTCACCTTTTATTGGTTATTAACATCCTAAATATCAATTAATTCGTCTTTAAATAGGTGCGTACATAATTTTTTTTAAAGCATACCATTTTTATAGAATTTCGTTAATTTTAAATGTAAATATATTTACTCTCAACGTTATAAAAGCAATGTTTTAGATATATAATCTTAAACTGTCAAGTAACTATTGCCTAAATTAAAATAAAAAAAATAGAAATAATATCCGCCCGCCTGTTTGTCGGTTATCGCGGTAAAAAGTAGCTAATGTTACTCGCTGGTAATGTAGCTTTCCATTAGTGAAATAATGTTTAAAATCGGTTTAGTTGTTTAGGCGTGAAAGCATAACAAACCGGTGAACTAATACAAGTTCACCTACATTTATTTATCTCTATATCTAACAGTCTCTTTTTACAAAAAGATTTAAGAGGGCCTAAATTACAAAAAAATCAAGTGACGTACAAAATAAATGTAAAGAAAGTTCTCGCGTTTAAAGTTACAAAATAATATCAGATGAACTTTTTAACGTATCATCTGTCTGTTTATTATTAATTCAGAAAATTGATTTCTTTTTCTTATGTGTATCTAATTCTAAGTTTAATCATAAAAATACATTTCTGAACGCTTCCATAAATATTTATTTTGAACTTATAGTTAATTATTCTCTACTTTTTAGTTCGGCTAGTTTCAAAGGTGTGTTTTTTAATTTTTTTAACTATTACTTATTTTTGCCTTTTGGTCAATAACGATGATTATTTCATCATTAAATATCAAGAAAAATAATAAATATATAAATAACATATGCTTAAGCAGTGGCACAAATCACGTTTTTTAAATCTTGAAAAAATCGTTAAGGATCGTCGGGATGATTGGACAACCTTATTAAATTATTGTTTTGTTATCAGTCCTTAATAAGTGTGCCACAATATTCAATATGACTTTCGAAATGGGTGAAAATCATATTCAAAAATACGGGTGAGGCTAAGATTGAGGTTAAAAATAAGTGTCAAAGTAAGTAATTGGTTTAAACAACGCTACAACAATTTCAATAGTTACGCTTTGAGTGATTAAACAGATATGGAATGGACGCTTTTATCAAAAAATAATTCAAATTTCCATTTGTTAACCTTATTCTAAGACCTACGGTACAAGCCATCCCTAGTTTGAATAAAAAAATTAATTATGTTCTTTTGATTTGCCAAGCAATGCCATTTTCAGTTATATGGTGATGACGGGCATGCATGTAGGTTCTGGCATTTGCTACACTAAAGTTGGTGCTTGATTCAGTGGGGACGTACATACATATATTTATCAGACGCTCCTAGTGCATATACTAATACCGAGATTCTTATTCATTAATAAAGGTGATCGTACTTAATACACATCACATCAGGCTGTTGATGTGATGTGTGTGATGTGTACTTAATATGAATAATGTTCATGTTTTGAAAAGGATTACAAGATATTAACGTGCTATCCTTTTTGTTCGTGTTTTGCACCTTCTTACTTGACTGTAGTGAGAGCTCGTTACCTACCTCAGATTGAAGGGCTGCGGTCGTTGGCCTGATTCTTGCAGATCGTATGGCGAGCAAAATTCTTGTTAACTCCTACACACTTATATACTAATAAGTATGGCTATAAAGATTTGTCTTGATTTGGATGGAATGTTATACGGTGATAATTTCATAATCCTGTACTGTTAAACTTATAATAATATTTATAAATCTAATATTTCATTGTTCATTAATTCATTAAGTTGCATTCATCCATTAATTTAGTAGCAGTTCAGATATGAAATATGCAAGTGATGAACTAAAGATTTAATCCATTCCATTCCATCCATTTTTTTATTTCTGGTTAGATCTGTTGTCAGTGTCGAATTAGGATCAAATACTTATAAGAATACTTGTGTAAATATTAGAATGGAATACTTCTTACGGGAAAGGAAAATAACTAATTTTTTAATTATTTAGAGTTGGAAGTTCACTTGTAATCCTTTAAGTTGATGATAACATGGCAACATAAAAAAAAAAACTATGTTTCCTTTGAATTGTAATTTATTTTCATATAATATATTTTTTCCAATTTTATGATTTTGGGTTAAGTATTTACCACAATAAATATTTTTTAGATCAGACTACAATACAAAATGTACGCTATCTATACCTAGTTTTATCACAGATATCGGCAAAAATGCCGTATTTTAATAGTAGTTGGCAAGTTTTGCCAAACAACACAGCCTGAATAGGCCTAACTCATTCATATCACCTTATTTATACAACAGTTCAGTTAAGCTCAGCTCACAACTAGATGATTTACATTATCATAAAGATTCTTGTAATTATAACCAAGCAGTCAATTACATTAGACCTTTAAAAACCAAATGTTTTAATACATTAGTTCTATCACGATATCTTACTAAACACAATTATACAAATGGCATATTTACATTATTATAAGTATTTTAAATTATATACAGTACATAAACGCTAACCGACTAGCCATCACAAATATTAAACACTACAGTCACATAATTTTAAATGTTTTTAATCACTTTGTACATATACACATGTGACATCACTAAATGTACTTAATTTTTTTAAGTGTTTGATGACACTTTACACATGGACGGACATGGTGCGAGGTGAAGCGCGTGGCGGCAGTTGATGAGGAGTATGAGAGGGGTGTATGGGTAGAACAGGGTGGCCACCATGGATCGGTGGCTGCGGCAGCATGCCTAAGTGGTTCCTTGGGTGGTGGTGTCTGTGCATAGGCAAGCCACCACCTACAGCGGTGTTCGGTACTCCGCGAAATCGTTGATTATTGCGTACATCGGGCAACGCAAACTTCAGTTTTTCCCAGAATAGTCTGTCATTAGCAAGAAGGCACTTATTTGTTTTCAAAAACAGTCTTACATCAGGATCGAGATCCTTGTGAGGCACTTGACCATATAACACTACAATCAGTCTTTTCCGTCTGTCTCTTAATACTTGGTGAAGAGTGGTTTTGAGTTCATAAAGCACCCACTCGCATTCCAATAAGTTTTTACTAAGAACTATTATTGTGCGACGTGAAGACTCAACAGCTTGTCTTATCTTTTCTGGAACGTGGGCGGCCAGGTCGCGGTAATGCAAGCAAAGTTTGTAGGAAGGATCACAGCGTTCTAGTTTGTGGGCCAGTTCGTCGGTGACCCATACTTCATCTTTAGAACTGTAGCACAAAAATGCATCATACATTTTTTCTGAATCTTCCCTATCATTTGCTCTATAAAACAATCTCACTCCGAATTTTGAAAAAAAACACACCCTTATTTCTTGCCTGAATACGAACATAAGCACGCTTATAAGGGCTATTCCTAAAAAACATCCCAGAGTAGCAACAAGAAGCGGCATGTAGTCTTGCACTTCTTCATTGGTTATTATTGTTCGAGTTGCAGTCAAGTTACCATTAATACTGTTATTTATGCTTGGCATCCCGGTACACAATGTTCCATTTTCATCAGCGATTATAAATCCAGATTTTGAATTATTGAATATGTTTTCATTGGTAATTTCTAAATCAGTTGTGTTCCCTTTAGAGTATATACATTTAATATTCGATAGGTCTATTATGGAACTTCCTCTCTTTGTCCATTCACGAAACATTTCTGTATATTCACAGTCGCACGACCACGGATTACTTGAAAGGGTTATTTCTGTTATCACGGGATTGATTTGCCAAACTGATAACGTAGTAAGCATATTATGATGAAGATGTAATAATTTTAGACGAGTCATGTGATTGAACATATCCTTGCCTATATTTTTGATCTTGTTATTATTCATATACAGCTCCTGTAAGCTATCTAAGCCATCAAACTCTTGCCCTTCAATGTTAGAAATGCTGTTGTAATCCAAATGTAGTACTTCTAGTTCTTTTAAACCGTTAAATGTTCTATTGTGAATAGTCTCGATATTTGATGCATTTAAATATAGAATCTTTAATTTCCTTCTTCCAATAAAAGCATGGCTAGGTAGTTCTTTGATTTCGTTACCGTCGAGATAAAGTTGCGTCGCTTCCATGGGTATTTTTTCTGGCAACATATTTATGTATCCAGAGATAGCACAATCAACAACGTTTGCTGACCATGATGGATCGTGATAGCAAGTACAGTTATTAGGACATGTCATTTCACAATCGCAGGCGTCAAAATCACAACAATGACACAATGCGTGACAGTGAGACTCATATTTACATAAAAACTGATGAGGTGCAGCTTCAATCAAAGCTACTTGAACATTTCCTCGGCTATACAATAATTTGCAATTAATACTTTCTAGGTCCATTAATTTAGGCTGTGTTCTGGCTCTATTACCAGTGTTTATTTTTTGTAACCAATCCATTGTGCAATCACATTCTAGTGGATTGCCACCAATGAAAAACTCCGGTACTGACTTATCCTGAGGTACAGCAGATATCCTCAGAGAATTTGGGTCCAGGCTAGTTATTTTATTGCCATATAAATCGACTCGTGTTAAATTTGGTTTTTTAAAAAAAGTATATGATTGTACTTTAGAAATTAAATTGTCATTCAGATATAACATTTCGACCGAATTGGGTATAGCACTGCCAGTTATTTCTGTTAACTTATTAGAACTGGCGTCGAAAGTGCTGAGTGATAGCTGCGATTCAATTTCAAAGTAATTTCCAAGTTCAGCAATTCGATTAGCGTGAATATCTAGCCACTGCAATCCAGTTGGAATCATTGCATAGTCGAACCATTCCAGCCGATTATCAGAAATATTTAACCAAACTAAATTAGGCAATTTAGCAAAAAGTCCGCCGATATCTGTTAGGTAATTCCCATCCAGTCTTATTGCTTGTAGGTTGACGTTTGCATCAAAAGCGCCGGCTTCAATCTTGTGAATTTTGTTTCTTGATAGATTTAAAATTTTTAAAGAAGTCATTTTATCAAATACTCCTTTACTAATGTTGCCGATATTGTTTTCAGTTAGTCTGAGTCCATACATTTGCTCCATAGTCATGAAAGATGCATTTTCTATACTGATTATTAAATTTTCACCCAAATCCAGAGTCTTCAATTGAGGTATTTCTTTTAGAGCAAGAGGAACCTCATCAAGCCTGTTTCCATTGATATGTAGATCTTGTAAGGAAGAACAATTTCGTAATGAATGTGGGTGTATTCTAGATATGCGATTACTGTCTATAGACAATACCGATAGAACTTGTAGACCCATAAAAGCATAGCTCTCTATACTGGTAAGTCTATTGTTTGATAATGTTAATGTATGGAGATTATTTAGCGAACTAAACACGTTTTCTGGTATGTGTTCAATAAAATTATCCTGTATTTTTAGTATTTGTAGGTTATGCAAGTCACGGAATAGCGCTATTTCCATTTTTGAGACGCGATTGTGAGAAAAGTCCAAGTACACAAGTCTCTTTAATCCAGAAAAAGTAGACGTATTGATCCAATCTGAGGTTAGTTCATTAAATGATAGATCTAATACTAAAAGTTGCGTGAGATCGCTAAATAAACCTGGAGCTAGTACTGTAATTGTATTGTTGTTTAAATAAATCTCCTTTAGTTCTTTAGTATCGCTAAATAGTTCAGGTGGTAAACTAGTCAGTTGGTTGTCGGAAAATCTTATAGTCGTCAACGATATTAGACCTTCTAAGGCCCTATCTGCTATTGAGTTCAGCCCGTTCCCTTGAAAATATAATTTTTGAAGTCTTCTTAGCCCTGACATCAGATTTGGTGGCAAAGTATCTATAACATTTCGAGAAAGGTCCAGCACTAATAGATTGTCTCCGCATTTTTCCGACGGGTGTCGATGTGCTGATGAAAATTGAAAATGGCTTATGTCTCTCATTCTGTTTCCAGTCATATTTAAGTATTCTAAATTTCTTAGTGTGCAGAGAGCTCCTTCGGGAAATACTAACATATTATTTTCGCTGAGATCTAAACGCTCTAAATTTTGTACGTCTCTAGAAAAAGCACTAGGGGTTATTTCTAGTGACATAGTAGACCAATCTGTATTGTGAGTTCTAATTGTCAAATTCCTTAATTCTCGTAGTCCAGTAAATGCACTATCCGACAGGTTACCAATTTTACAATATTCTATGGTAAGCTCGCGCAGTTCAATAAGTTGTCGGAAACTGCCCGGAGCAAGTGAGCTTTGGAAAAACAAGGCATCGCTACATTCGAGACGTAGCCTGACTGTTGGATGAGGTTGAATTGCGCTGAAGTTTGTGTTTTCCAATTCACTGTTTATAGTTCGCAGTCTACATTGTAAAGCTACTCCTGAGCCGTCGTAGTCTGTCATCCAGCCACACTCATCTGGAGCCTGGTACCTCGTACCCGCTGATAAAGATGCACTTTTCACAGTTAATACGGTGCTTAGCACCAAAATGGCGCAAGTGAACCATGTAAGGTACATTGTTTTGTGTTCACTGATATCACTTTTTATTACATAGTTCCATTTATCACAATTTCACACGAAATTTCCACATGAACATTGTACTATTAGTGCACTAGTTTTTATTTTAGCTCGAGACCAAATACTATATATATATAATTCACAAGTCGAACCGGCCACTTAACTTGTTTCTCGCGAGAACACTAATTGGACGGGATTGCACGTCCGCAACCCACTTAGCCGTGGTACGCGTGGCGCGGGCGATCACGCTGAAGTCTGGGGTGGAACTGAGTTAGAGTCAAACCTGCGCTGCGCTCGCGCACAAGGCCGCGCCGCGCCGGTTCACGCGTTCCAACAGGTAAATTCACGCTCAGAGTAAGAACGTATTATACGCCTTAAATTTTCTACTGCGTTTGGCTTTACTGGTTTTGTTGCCAAGCTTGTCATAAAAATACAGTCAACACACACAGACGCGTGGGGTACACAACACAATAAAACGAAACCGCTTTTTGTAGCATTCAAGCAAGCTTTCATACGGTACGTAAGAGTGAGACAGAGGGTTTGTTGCGGGGTAAGGAGCATAGTTTGGTGGGGGTTTGAGGCAGCTGGCCAGGTAGTGCGCTCGCTCACCGGCACACTCACTGCTTGTTAACACTTGTGTTGATAGAATTGTGTTGCTGACATTTTACGACTATAATTTTTTTCTGATTAATAATTACTTTGAAATTCAACATTAAAAAGTTGTGTATACTTATACAACATAAAACCCAAAAGGATAAAACTTTATAATCAATTATAATGATCTACGGTCTTTATGATGTAGATTGAAATAACGTGAAACTAAATTACAACACAAATGTTTTTCTCATTTAAAAATATATTTCCTGTATGAGCGCTCATTTAATGCCTTGTATTTCTGTTAAACGCTTTCTGCATAATTTCTGGGTGCTGCCTGAACCCATCATCAAATGAAATATCCGCGCATTATGCATTTTATGCGGCCACCAATTTGTGCCACCGTTTGATTCCTTAAATCGTGTTGAAACTAATATCAGATTTGAATTCATAATTTATACTAACAACCTAAACTTTGTATCCATATATGTTATTAAATGACGATAAAATAATGACAATGAACACTTTGCCTTTGTATATTTTCTATGTGACAGCGATGACCTGCCCTTTTTTTTTAAATTAAATGAAAAATTATTTTAAGCTAAAGAATACTAAACTCTCTTAATAAATTATTTTAAACGCATTTAAAATGCTTGCCCGAAAAGCATTGATGTTACTGAAGACTGAAGTGAGGAATCTAGTGTGTATCACCTTTTATTTGTTCATTAGTGTAGGTATTTACTTGAATTTCTATATTTTATTACAAAGGTTGTGTTGTACTGTTATAAACTAAACTATTTATAACAATGAAGCTAAATATATCATAAAAGATTTTATACTTATTTACAAATAATTAATTCATAAGTATGCCCAAAAACCATTTGTTAGAAGATTACCTTAACTGTTTTAATGGCGTAAAAAAACCTTGAAAACGTGCTACACGTACATGATATAAAAATAAGTAATCTATTTCATGGTTACGTTCTCGAGGGATTTTTAACTTACACACTTTTATACCCTACGTTGGCGAAACGCAGGGCGTGTGTTGGACTCCCGAAGAACCGGCCTATCCACTAAACCCCGCGGCAGCCTACCTCGGCAGTCGGAAGGAGCTCCAGGACGGCATCGGCAGCTTCTGGAGTCCTCCCTGCCGTATCCCATGTCTGAGGCACATCCCGGGGCGGCCGTAATCACCTTGGGGCGGGACGCTACCGCGCTTCTTACTGCGCTATAGAGTAAGAGGCGCAACAGCGCCCCGCCTTGGACGACACCCTTGTGACCCTTAGGCGGTGAAATGGGGAGCTAGCAACCTCTGTCGCTTCCCTTCACCGCCTCCCTCAAAAGCGGTATCGGCCCTCTCCTGATCCCGCTCGGCGGGCCCCTTCTGGAGCATAACGTCCTCGCACAAAGAGACCACGGCTGCCCATCCCTCGCCACTCTCTAGCATTGCCGCGATCAATGCTGGCGGTGACAGGTTTCGTCCGATTGGTACAACCAAGATCAGACTCCCACGCAGGGCAGTCCTCCAGCGTGTGCTGGCGGAGTCCCGGTAGGACCCGCAATCGTGGCATTTTGACCTCCCGTCCTATTCGATTCAGATACTCACCGTAGCAACCGTGACCGGTTAGCATCTGAGTCAAGCGATAGGTGACACAGTCTTTCCATTTGCATCGAAACTGTTTCTTTGTAGTTATATTTACTGTGCACTCCAAATGGATACAAAAAGTAATATCAAAATGAGTTTATAGAAATTCGGTACAAACAGTAAAAATATCTCCAGTGTCATCATCATCGTTATCATCGTCAGCCTATTACCTCAAGTGTAATTATCCAAATTATCACAGACCAAATGTAACAAAAATCGGTCATGCTCTGTATTGCAACCTAGAAAATCTCAATGAAAGTCCAATAAAAATAATTGAACATCAAAATCACTGACCTTTTAATAAACCAGAATCAGAATCATATTTATTTGCAAAAATATTGTGACAAATGGTGTTACAATGGGTAGTAGAAGATACAAATATTTTTTACCAGAATAGTGGCATGCAAAAACATTAAATAAAATCAAAATATTTATTTCAGCAGAGTAAAAAAAACGAAAAAAAAAGCATTAGGTCAATACAAACAATTAAATAAGATGTCATTGGGCAGAAAAAATATAATAATAACAGTTACAAGCTTATTCAATTATAAAATGAAAATAGTAAGTCAATTGTCATCCATATGAATAATTAATATATTTTTTTTTTTAATATTCTACCACATACACACAACGCCATCTAGTCCCAAACTAAGCAGAGCTTGTACTATGGGTACTAGACAACTGATATAAATACATATATACTTTTTTTTTTGTAAATACATACATATTATACATAGAAACACCCAGACCAAATCAAACATCAAATGTTCATGCACACAAATGTTTGACTTGAGCGGGAATCGAACCCACGACCTTTGGAATAGCAGTCCGTTACACAAACCACTACGCCATCCGGTCGTCCAATGTTAGGCCTAATGAAAATTTAGAGTATTGTTCGCAAAGAGATGTTAATCTAATATCCGTAATAATATAAATTAGCTTAAATGTCATCGTTTAATTTGTCATTTAGATAATCCGTGAGAGCATTATAATAGCATTTGTTTACCAATAATTCACTTATTTTTAAAATTAAATTTAATTTAATTTTAATTAAATTAAATTACAGACTGCTTCCCTAAATAAAATATATTTTTTAATAAATACATAATAATTATAAAATGTTAATTGTCTCTACTATGGTCAAATCTTATCCGTCGTATCCGCTGACAGCGATCTTGAAGCCATGTTTGTTATTATTGCATTTATATCAAAGTCTAGATACTATTTTTCGTAACACCTTTGTTTGAAAGCACCTCACTAACTGTCTCAGCCAGTATCGGAATCCTAGGCTCCCACATATCGAGCGAAGTTCAGTTTCGGGGTCACTTGAATGTAAGGTCAAATTGGCCTCAAAGAAGCTCGGTGTGCTGAACAGATCGAGGCAGTATTTCACTCCGACCCTCCGCCTTCAGCTCTATAAGGCGCAAGTCCGGCCGCATATGGAATACTGTTCTCATCTCTAAGCAAGTACACCTCAGTACCAGCTTCTCCTTCTGGACCTCACCCAACGAAGAGCCACTCGAATCGTCCATAGTTGAAATATCTCCGATCGGCTCGATCCCTTAGCGTTACGTAGAGATGTGGCTTCACTCTACATTCTCTATCGCATATATCATGGAGTGTGCTTCGAGGAACTGTTCGGACAAATACCGGCCGCAACTTGCTGCTATCGTTCCACACGATTTTCATCCCCATCATCTGGATAGTTGGCGCTCCATTACTGTGCGCTTTTCGGGACACTTTTTGCCTCGCACAACCAATCTGTGGAACGGGTTATCGTCTGCGGTATTTCCGGACCGATACGAGCTTCAAACCTTCAAGAAAAGAGCTTACTTCTTCCTAAAAGGCCAGCAATGCGTTTGTGACTCCTGAGTTCCAGTTGTTCACGTTTGGCTATGGTTACTTTCCATCAGGTGACCCGTCTGCTCGTCTGCCCCCTCTAAAAAAAAAAATGGTACCTAATTCTAAAAAAAATCTCTTGTAGTATTAAAATGCCGCAAATTGTTCCTAATCTGGTAGAAGAAAAATGATTATGTTTATAATTTTATTATTTGGTGTTAAGATAATAACTGGAATTACCGCATCGGTATCGAGGCACAATTTATGTGTGGTGTTTTGGTCCGATTCCGAGGCGCCACCTTTACTATCTCAATTGCAATAAATTATTTCCTTTGACACGCGAGAAGCGGAACATTTGCAATTGCAATAGTCGAGACCATAGCATCTCACCTCCTTTATGTAAACAGCGCAAATGGCTTCGTAATAGGAATCGCGTCCGTCCCTCTATGACACTGGCTCAATATTTCACACCGGGTCCCACGGGTCGTTTGTCCGGATCACGCCTAGAGACGTTTACCACAAAAGGCCAGCGGGAGATCTCTCCTTCGACTTTTTGTAGTAAGTGGCGAGGCGTTTCTCGTCCAATGTTTATAAAAGAATAGATTGGCAGTAAATCGTTGGGTATTGTGGCGATGTTAATGTATGTTTATAGGGCTGCATCGCCCTTTATAACATAATGTATTCAGTGTACTCATGTGCATGGTCACATTGGTTTTAGATATTTTATTGAGTTATCTGACTCATAATTTCTATCTCTAGCCCGATTTTAACGTATTATTATTTTATTCAAAAATTACGTAATAATTAAACGATTTGATATTATATTATGATTATTTTTAATAATATGATTATTTTAAAATACCAATCGGCCTTGTATCGGCCCGACCGACAAACCTTATATCAATGTGACACTTATCTTGGT